ACACCCCCCTCCACTACCCAGGCCCACAGCACGACTCTCACTTCCGCCTGCCACATTCCGACCACCCTCACCCTCACCAACAGCATCAACATCAACATCAACATCAACATCAACATCAACATCAACTAAGTCATCATTATCCACCTTCTCCTCATCACCAACAACATCGCCCCTCACATCTCCAGGATCCTCGGAATGGTTACCCCCACCACCAGCAGCAGCATCAGCACAACTCTCTGTCCCCCCCTCCTCCCCCTCCCCACAGCCACGACAACTACAACGACCCTCACCTCCAGTACACACCGCCTCACGAGCACGACCGCCATCACCAGCAACAACAGCAACAACAACAGCAACAACAACAACAGCAACAACAGCACCACCACCACCACGCCCCGCCCCAGTGGACAGACAGCAATAGCGCGGTGGGCGCGGCCAAAGCCTCCACACTGCCCACTTCCGGTCCACAGTTGAGCCCCTCCCAGCCGCGGGACTTCAGTCTGCCCAAGGTCTCCGCCAAGCCTCACCACAACCACCCCGGCGGCTGCACCAGCACCACCAACAACAACAACAGCAGCAACCACCGACCCAGCAGCGACACCGCGGCCAACGCCCCCCTCAGACGCCCCCAGACAAGCCCCGACGGCGCGGGCGCTCAGCAAGCCCTGAGCCTGGACTCTGCCATGGACACCTCGGACCTGATCCCCCTGTCCCCCGCCGGCGCCACTAGCAGTGTGGTCAACTCCCAGGACGGGATGGTCAACTCCCAGGACGGGATGGTCAACTCCCAGGATGGGATGGTCAACTCCCAGGATGGGATGGTGACCATGTGTAGCATCAACGCTGACCCCAGCATCACAGACTGTCGCCCTTCGGACAAGGTGAGATGTGAAGGGGGGGGGGGCAAGGGAGGGGAGGGGGCGTCTGGGCGGGGTTCAACAGCCTGGCTAGACAAAGACGACTTTCCTCCGTCAGGGGTGGCCATTTCTCACTGTTCTTTCATCTCTGCAAGTCAGAAACACCATCCTCTCCTTCCTGTCAACAGAAACACCATCCTCTCCTT